CCACCTGCCAGAGATTGTTCCTTTGTCTATTATTTGGATGTATCTCATAAATTCAAAATAGACACATAAATTAAAGGTGCACAAACAACACCACCTATACGTTTTTTTTTTAAAAAAAAGCACATTTTGCTACATTTCACGAAACATTACACAATCTCCCTCAGGTCCCCTCTCTGGTGTCAGAATGCGGAAGTGATGTATGTTACATCACTTCCGCATTCTTTTGTCACTCTCCAGCTTCAGATGCTGGAGATAAGCTGATGATCATCAGCTTCTTTGGGGGGTCCTAGGTGACATTAGCGGTCTTGGAGACCCCTGATGTCTCCATAAAGAGGACCTGTCACATATTTTGCTATCGCATAGAAGGGTTTCTTAGCCCCCTATGTGATAGCAATAAAGTTAAGTGAAAAAAAAAAAAGTTTCCCCCCAAAAGTTACACATAAAAGAGAATTAAAGTCCCCCCTCATACATACACGCAAGCAAACATGCGTCATGTGCGAAAACGATAATTGCGCCCATTACGCCACACATGTTACATATCGTCGCGAACATCGGAATGTGAGCAATACTTCTAGGGCTATCAATCACTGATAACAACACTAAACTGATGAGCGGTAAAAGCTTTTAAAGCGTCGCCTATGGTCCATTTTGGGTATGGTAGTTTTAGCGATTTCACGCAATTTTAAAGCTTGACGTGTTTGGTGTCTATTTACCCGACGTGACCCCCAACTTTTATATTTTACCAAAAATATGAATAATTATCATTGTTTCCTAACCTAATGAAAAAAAATAATTTCCCCCAAATTTTCAATAATTTTTCCTTTTAATATAGCAAAACATAAAACCCCCAGTGGTGATTAAATACCACCAAAAGAAAGCTCTGTCTGTCCCCAATAAATGGTAGACAATTCATTTCAGTACAGCGTTGCATGACCGAATAAACGTCAGTCAAAGTACTGCAGTGCTAAATACTGAAAAAAAAATAGCCTGGCCAGGAAGGGGGTGTAAACACCTGGTCTTCAAATCACCTTTTCATGTAAATAACCTTGGCAAACTTCAAAATAGAACAGTTGAAAAGAATAAACATTCTCTTTAACATGCCTATATACACAGGGAGGCAGTTGGGGACAGTTACAATCTTCCTGCTCAGTCACCTGTATCTTCCGCATTGCTTCTAAACCGTAATCTTCAGCTAAGACCATTGTTTTGTGCTTGGCCTGTGCAGAAGAATTAAAGAAGTGGGATACAGACACCTACCAGTGTCCTTTTATAACATTGATGATTTAAAAGATAAACTATTCTTTTAGGAAGATATTTTGCCCAATTGCAGGCAGTTAAAATATACGCCAAGGAGCATTTGAGATGGCTAACACACACCAGGGATACTTGGTGGACACTGGGATACATAATTTAATAAAGCTAAGAAATGCTGCTACAGGCAACACACCTGTTTTAAGTATTACCTCCATATTGTGTTCTTCATGACTTATAGTTGCAGTTTGAACTGTCCAAGTGACCTGCTAACAAGAAGCAATTTCTTGAAACCAACAACTCCATTGTGATTGAGTGTCTTTACTCCTTTATTATAAGAATATAAAATACAGTACTTTAGTGTACTGAAGTACTTTATCTTAAGTATTTGTTTTGCATGGACTGACTCCAGAACTGTGATTTTTCATTCTGGTTAAACAGTGCTCCCTGCTGGCAGTTAAAGTAGAACTGAAGCCAAAGCATAATATTTTTTTTTGGATAGAATAAGGGAGGTTGGTAACGTGTGTGTGTGTGTGTGTGTGTGTGTGTTTGGCCAAGCAAAACAAATGGCAAACGCACTCATCAACTTATCACCAGCTTTAAGGCAAGGTGCAAATGGAAGGGCTTTATACAGTACAACAGCAAAAAGTTTCCCAGCACACTCACCAGCCAGCATGGAAAACATTTTGTCTACCACTAGGGTTAAAACCAGAAGTTTAGATACAAGTCTTCTGCAGAATATGTGAAAGCCGCACCGCCTAGCCAAGGCACCTCCTATATAGTGCGGTCCTAACTCTAACCTATGAGAGTCTCCATCTTGGAGCACATGTAGCAAAAGATAAAATTGGGTGAAGGTTTGCCAGGAGGCAGCCCAACCTCCTTGAAGGCACAGGGACACACAAGAGGGCCCTGCACATCACAATGGGGGCCTCAGCTGCCGTTTAGGAGCCCATTTCCCACCGATGTATGTGTGTTGGCATGCGTGCACAGCAGGTGTAAATGAGCCCACAATAATTTGAAGAATTACTGGCTTTTAATTTTGTTTACTTTTATATTAACAATCTGATATTTTTGTTTTAAATCCTAAATAAAAATACTTTAAAATGTTGTCCTTTTTCATTTTGTTTTTTATAAAAGTAGTAGCTAGATTAAAGTCCTCTAACACTGCTTTTTGTTTAATTTCTTTTAGGAGCTATAAAATTTGTTGTAGCAGTAGCAGCCTTTTTACTCACCTTTTATGTGATATCCCAAGTATTTGATCTTAAAATGGATTCCAATTTAGGAAAATTTTTGGGTAAGTGTATTCTATATGTTTCTTTCCTTTTCATGTGATCTCAAAATGTAATATATCATATGTGTATTTGTTATCATTACTTATTTGTAAATGTAGCCTGTTCTCTTTTGATTGCTTTGCTTCCGTGAAAGAACTGGTGATCCTGCCAGTCCCCCTTCTGTCCTATTGCAATCTGACCACACAAGGTACGAATGCAGAGCCATCCTAGTGTGGCCAGTGTGCGTCTCTGCCTTCTGCTTTGGATCGCCAGCTTGGAAGCTGCCTTTTACTCCTGTAGTCAGATTGCTGTTGACACCCCTCTTCCTGCCCAACTCTGAGGGTTAGTTCACACCATCAGCATTGCGTTCTGGACCGGGAACGCACTGCGGCCGCCTCCCTATTTTGCTGGGCGGGAGGGGGCGTGGTCGGCCATTGAAGTGAATTGCACCGTAGCCACGCCCTGCAGTCGCAATGTGATCGTTCACACGGCAACCGCAAACCACATTGTGCCTGCAGTGCGTTCCGCGCGGTGTGTTCAAAATAGTGCTTGCGGTTGCCGTGCAGGCTATTGCGGCCGCAGGGCGTGGCTACGGTGCCATTCACTTCAAAGGCACGCCCCCCTCCTACCCAGCAAAATGGGGAGCCGGCCGCAATGCGGGCAGTGCTGATGGTGTGAACTAACCCTGAGAGCAGCTGGGATATGTGGGGATGACAGAAGCGTGCATCTCTCTGTCTGCTACTTGGACGCTACAGAGCGCAGTGCATAGGTCACAAGTGGCAGGTTTTCATTGCAAGGGTTCACATACACCTTAAGAGGCCGGTAAACATGTGTGAAAATCCACTTTGGGACTCTGGACTGAAAATAAAAGAAAACGGCATGAGAAAAAATTATATTTTTCATGGGCAACAAACGCAATACCATACCAGTGCATATTTTGCTGGTTTGTAAATGGCCTGGTGGGCCAGATTCGGCCCCCTGGGCCTTGAGTTTGACACGTGCTCTAAGGTGTTTATTTGAATAGCAGCTTTTTGAGATTGGTGAAAATTCAGTCTCCCATGATCACAAGCCCTATAAAGACTCATGTGAAAAGCAAACATTCTATAAAAAAAAGTTGTCTGCAAAAGATTCTTAGTACTTACCTTTCTGGCAGGGCAAGTCCTTTCTTTGCACTTTTCAAGAGCTATGGATTCCAGCATAATTTAATCCAACACTTCTGGGTGTGTCTATGCCTTCCTCCCACAATGCCTACTGTGGTTCCATCCACTGGCTCCTAGTCACTACAGGGCACAGTAGTGAAGTAGGGGCTAGGAGGAGGAACCACTGAGCACTCCTTTGTGGATTTACAACAGGTGTTTAAAGGTTGGGGTCCAAAATAGTAGTAGGTGATTTTAGGTCTCCAGAAAGTGACTGGGATTTACTTTCAGTGGTTCTTCAATGTACATCACTAGATCCTATGATGACACTGGTAGTAGCACTGGTGGTGTGCAGTACTACACAGGTCAGGTCCTCAAAAAATAAAGGGTGGGTCACATTCTCACCTATTCGGTTAAATAATGCTTAGAGCTCTAATGATGTGTAACATTCAACAACTCCTGACTAATGGGATTTCGGTTCCCTGAAGCAAGATAAGTGAAAGGTGAATCCTGCCAGGTCTCTGTGGGCAACTGCATTTCGCCTTACTGAAGACCACGACCACACTTTAGTCAATTTTAAATGCTCGTTTTGTAAATGTGCCAGTGTTTTTGGCTCTTTGTTATTTATAAGTAGAAAACATATGTGTCTAAGCTTGCATTTCTTAAATGTTGATCCTAATACATGTCGTATGTTTGTACTTTAGCTCGATCAGCCCTGGATAATGTGGCACATCCCAGTAAGTAAAGTTAACCAGTTATCTGTTTTTATGGAAATTGGTTCATTTGGGGTACTGTTATCATTTCCCCTACTACATTGATTTGATTGTGCTTTACTTCATTTTCTGTCGCATTTAAAATACAAACCTTAAATGGCAATGCATACTATCAGCAGTTTTCCCTTAAATTCAGTCATATTGTTTCTCTGAGAATATTCACACAATTAGCTGACACAATGTGTAGAATTGTATTGCTGGACAAATATCTGTCATCCATGAACACATTTTCAGCATTTAGGCTGTTCTTTTTCTGATGAGAACAGCACTAGGAGTGTCAGTTTCTTGAAGTGATATGCACATCCTTTCAGATAAGCACATCCTTTTAGATGAGTGCTATTCATTGTTGTACTCTGCATACTTGTTTCCCTTGGTAGGATGCTTGAGGGTGCCCTGGGTCTTTTTTAGGATTATAGATACTCTTGCATGGGTTACTATCTGCATATGATATTACAGACCACCTGTTGGCCTTTATTTTAAGATTTATTTCAAATCCAATTTACAAATGTTTTTTGTATGTCAGAGGGGAAAATATATGTTTTTGCAGCATGTTGTTTTTCATATATATGAATGCCATGGCAATTCTGTTGGTAGCTTTAGACTTAGACCTGTAAAGATAATCAGGTCAGAATGAAAGGACATTATGCTGACACACACTAAGGCCTTTTTCTCTCCCGTTAATTGAAGGACACAGGGCAACAGATCGTAGATCCTGTATGGTAGGGTAATATCGCCACCTGCAAGGGCAATATGCCCTTCCTGCTGTGTCCCTACGTCCCAGGACTCCTGCCCTGGCCAGCGGTGTGCCTGGTTGTGGACACTATGGGGGCTTAGGTCGGCTATGGGTGTCTACTTAGCCCAGGGGTGCCGCGGCCGCTACTCGAGGCACGTTGGCGGTTACGCTTCGCCGTTTGTTCTGGTTTACGTGCTGGGCGGCTGACCAGGCTTCTACAAACATTCTAACGGAGCTTCCCTTCGCTGTGGACTGCCTGTTTGGCACCACCTTGGACTGGATCGGCTCTTGGCGGACTTTTGGCTGACTCACGTCTCCGACGCTTGGGTTCGGGAGCTGGTTTCCTCTGGCTACAAGATCGACTTTCTGCCCTGTCCGGTACACAGATTTTTCTCGTCCACCTCAGGCCTTTCCCCTCTACGCCTGGCGGATCTTCATCGCGCAGTGGTGGGCCTCTTGTCCCGGGGGTGGTCGTGCCGGTTCTGTTCTCGGAACGGTTGTAGTGCTTTTATCCACATCTGTTCACTGTGCCTAAGTGAGAGAGGGTTCGGTCCATCCTGGGCCTCAAACGCCCACACTCTTTTGTGCGGGTCTGTCGTTTACGCATGGAATCAATTCGGTCCGTGGTGATATGACCTGTTTGCCTCCATCTACATCAAGGAGGCCTACCTTCCTGTGCCTATTGCGTGTCTCCTCAGCGATATCTTCGTTTCGCGGTGGGGGAAGAGCATTTCCAGTTGTGGCGCTGCCTTTCGGCCTTGCGTCGCCCCCGCGGGGGTTCACCGAGGTGCTTGCCTTGGTTCTGGCGCTCTTGTGTTGCCGGGGAATCTCGATCGTGGGGTATTTGGACGATCTGCTTCTGCGGAGTTGCACTCCTCTCTGGTGTCGGCTCGGGAGGTCACGGTGCGCTCCTTAGAGTAGTTCGGGTGGATCCTGGATCTCCGGGAGTCTTGTCTGGTGCCTTCGCCGCCCCTGGGGTATCTGGGCCGAGTCCTGTCCATGGTCGCGGCCCGGGGTTTTCTTCCTCTGGACTAGCTACTGACACTTCGTTCTGACGTGCGTCTGTTGCGGACTTGCTGGTGGTCGTCCATTCACTTCTGTATGCAGGTCCAGGGTCTCATGGTGGCCTCCTTCGAGGCGGTGCCTTCAGCTCAGCACCATACCGGGACCCTCCAGTGGCATATTCTGGGGCTGTGGGTCAAGTCCACCCTGTCGCAGGAGATTTCGGTTGATGCGGCCTCCCTAAGGTGCTGGCTTCACTCTTCAGCATTGGTGCGCGGGGAGTCCTTCCGTCTACTATGGGCTGCAGGAATCACCCTTTGGCCTATTCGGAAGATTCCGTTTTTGTCCTTGTCCCAAAAGAGTGGCCTTTTTGGTGGCCGTCACTTCCGTTCGGTGGGTGTTTGCATTGGCTGCCTTGTCCTGCAAGTCACCTTGTCTGGTCCTTCATGGGGTCAAGGCTGTTCTCCGTCCTCGACCGGCCTTCCTGTCTTAGGTCGTGTCAGCTTTTCATATGTATGAAGACTTTTTTTCTACCTTCCTTGTGCCCACAACCTGTCCGCGGGAAAGGGGAGAGCGCTACATTGCCTGGATGTGGTGCGTGCTCTTCGTGTCTACTTGGGAGCTACTGCTTCTTTCCGTGAGACGGATTCCCTGTTTGTGCTCACGGGGGGCCCTCGTAGGGGCCGGGCCGTGTCGGCGGCTACCTTTCACGATGGATTTGTGATATGGTTATTCAGGCGTATGCCGTTGGGGGGCGTGAGCCCCCTTTCCCTGTCACTGCCCAGTCTACTAGGGCTGTTGGAGCTTTCTGGGCTTTTCGCCATGGGGCTTCTGTTTCTCAGGTTTGCAAGGCCGCTGCCTGGCCTTCTGTTCACGCCTTTATCTAGTTCTACAAGGTGAATGTTTTAGCATCGGCGGATGCTGGTTTGGGGCGCAAGGTTTTGCAGGCGGCTCTTTGGGTGCTTCTTGGGTTGTTTGTGTTTGCCCATCCCTCATTGAGTTACTGCTTGGTGACGTCCCTACCATACAGGATCTACGATCTGTTGCCCTGTGTCCTTCAATGAACGGGAGAGAAAATAGGATTTTTGTACTCACCGTAAAATCCTTTTCTCTCCGTTCATTGAAGGACACAGGTCCCGCCCTCTTTTTATGGGGGTGCACTCCTAACTGCTTGTTACTAACTGGAGACTTGTCAGCAGGTGGGGGGTTGGGCCACCAGCAGGGGCCGCCCCTAGGCTGTAATTGGTCTTTAGTTTTGTGCCTAGCGTCCTTCTCCTGCAGGTGGCGATATTACCCTACCATACAGGATCTACGATCTGTTGCCCTGTGTCCTTCAATGAACGGAGAGAAAAGGATTTTACGGTGAGTACAAAAATCCTATTTTTTTCGTTTATAAATACAGAACGCCCCCTCTAAAATAAAAATGCTGCACTAAGATGTTTCTTGTGGACCACAATCGGTTAGTATCTGCCACAGTAATTTGAATGTCATTGGTGTTCTAGGGAGCAGAAAGATAGCAAGAGAGTAATGGAGAACTCAGATGGTGAACTGGGTACATTTACAAGTTTAGCATACCTGTAGTGTATGCTGTAAACCTGATTTACCAACGCTTGTCAAACTCTTATTAAGCTCGGCATCTGCTTTGACAAAGTATTGCATAAATCGGTGCCCTAAGTCTGCCAAAAAAAAGCCCTTTTAATATAAAAACATAAACTTCTTCTTTTTCTGAATGCAGCTACTAAGGCTCCGAGATATAGATGTGGAATTTCAAAGATTTGTCCAGAGAAGCATTTTGCCTTTAAGATTGCAAGTGGAGCAGCTAATGTGGTTGGGCCGAAGATTTGTTTGGATGATAATGTGTAAGTACTCTGC